CCCCAAAACCCCAAAACCCCAAAACCCCAAAACCCCATTTCTCGGCTAATTTTGAATCGTGGGCTAGAAAAATTGGTGAGCTAGAACAGATCAGGACAAAAGTAGGATAGAAGTTTAATCAGAGTAGGTTAGATGAACTCAACAAACGAATCAATCTCTCTATCGAAATCGGCAGTTCCAGCCTTGTAGCCAATGTATTGGTTGAATCCGATTCTGAAATATCCTTTTTCTCCGAAGGTCTCGTTCCATTGGTTGGCGCATATCCAATAATATCCATCTGTTGCATCTTTACCCCATCCGATGACTCTGATGGCGTGGCCTCCCTTAGGGACGGCTCCAGCTCCAATTTTGTAGACTCCTCCCTTGTAGCTCTTGAAATCGCTGTAGACCTGCATGGACATGTAGATAGTTCCGTGTTCTTTGATTTCTTGAGCCATAGCAATGTTGTCGTAGTCATTCCAAAGTTGGATATTTGTTGATGAGAACACTCTAACCTCTTCATCGAGGCTTGTGCACTTGTTGCTCTTGCAAGTGGTAGGTACTCCAGTGGTACCTGACTTGTATGGATAACAGGTGTCGAGTCTTAGTCCTCCTCCGTATCTAACATCTGTATATTTGAAAGCAGTCTGAGTGTCTGCTCCTCTACATCCTGAAGCAGCAAACTTGGAGTCTTCACAGTCAATTAAATGTTGAGGAGAGAAGAATCTGGTATCTGAGAGTCCGTTTTCTATACACTCTCTGTCACTGATAGTCGAAGTGATGGCAAATGCCCAGCATCCTCCACAGCCAGCTTGATCTCTAATAGGAGATACACATTGAGGAATGGCTTGTCTCAGATCATATCCGGAGTTCTTTCCCATTGCTCTCTCAAAAGCTTCTTCATCAAATGATGGGGCTTCAAGACCATCAAAGTCATTGACAACCATGAGATATTTTTCAGCGAATTCATCATCAGATAGATGAGCAAATGGTCCTTCTCCAGGAGCATATGCTTGCCAGGCAAGAGCAGTGCTTACTAAAAGTAAGGCAACTAATACTAGTCTCATTATATATTATATTATCAGGTTTCATCAGCCCTTTAGTATTCAGGGGTTTTGGGGTTTTGGGGTTTTGGGGTTTTGGGGTTTTGGGG